GCATACAACAGCGCTTCAAAATACTACATCATTTCTTTTTTTAAGCTCTACATAACGGTTTAAAAAGAAATTGCAAATTTTTTTGTTTTAGCGAATTCCCCTATAGGGAAGTAGCTATTACTGTAGGTGGCATGGTAAGACCTACGCCCGGGACCGATTTACTTTTTCATTTTGATGTCCCCAGAGGCCAAAAACACCATTCGTTCAAATTTTGATATATGTATATATATATATATATATATATGTGTCCGTGAACACAATAACTTGAGTAATTTTTATCCGATTTTGATAAAATTTGGTTTAAAGGTGTAAAGCGGGATAAACTTGAATGAGTTCGCGAACCAGCATGATCGGACCATGGGAACGGGGTTTTATAGGGTAAAAATCGGGTTTTCTCATTTTTGACCCTCAAAACAGAAAATTTTCCAATTTCTCTCTAGACCTTTTTAAAGAGCTTAAAAAAACAAATAATGTAGTATATAAAAGTATTTTTGTACAATTATTACCATGGAGGTGCGTCTATATTGGTTAGTGAGGGACTTATGTATGATGTGATTGATATTTCTCATTTTGTGTACACAAGCCTTTTTGAAGCTGCATGTATTTATGTTAATGAATTTGATATTGTTTTCATTTCTCTATACAGAACGCCTGTTTCAGATTGTAATGTTTTTTTTCATCATCTAGAAAAACTTTTATCATTCGTTCTGTCAAAAAAACCTTCTAGCAAAATTGTACTAGGAGCTGATTTTAATATTGACTTTTTAAAAACTGACAGTTGTACTGAATTGCTTAAAAGTATTCTAAAATCTTTCAACTTATATCATGTTTTTAAATACCCGACCAAAGGGGATAAATGTATTGATAATATCACAACAAATGTTGATCAACATCAATTCACTCATAAGGTGTGGGATTATAAAATATCTGACCATCCCATTTTGTTTTTTAAACTTATAATTAAAAATATAGCACCAAATGTACTGAAAGAAATTTCTTTTCGTAAACTTAATGAGGAGAACCTTGGTATGTTAGCATTGAGCTTGTGTATGCAAATTGGGAGCCTATTTTTCATACTCTGATGTAAACACTGCTTTTGAATATTTCTTAAATACTATTGTTTATTATTTCAATTTGAACTGTCCTCGAATATCTAAGAAAATCAGGCATGATTATAAGAGTAAATTAAAGAATAAATTTTTTGATGAATCTCTAAGAAAAATGCGAGATACTGTTATTTTTCTTACAGATTTAACAAAAATGCCTAATTTAGCAAAGCATGATGATTTAAAGAGAACTCTGTCAGTTTATAGGAAAAAATACAAGACTATGATTAAAGTGGCTAAGATTAATTATAATGAGAAATTTGTTAGAAGTTCAAGGAATACATGTAAGGCTGCTTGGCAAATAGTAAAATCAGAAAGTGGGGATTTTTTCAAACATAATAATATCGTTCCACCTTTTTCAGCAGATGATTTTAATAACCATTACATAGATGTTGGAAAAAAGGTAGTAGAGAAAGCTCATGTTGAGCAAGGTGGGAGTTTGGATTTCTCTAATGTTCTAAATAATGCTAATTGTTCCAGAAATAAATTTTCGTGGAAATTGGTAACAGAGAATGATATGAAAAAAATAATAAGATCTCTTAATCCATCAAACAGTGAAGGTGCTTACGATTTTTCAAACAAAATTGTAAAATTCATAGCTCCTTACATTATGGAACCACTGATTCATCTTGTTAATATGGTGTTTTCTAGTTCAACCTTTCCAAATTGCTTAAAAATCAGTAAAACAATCCCTCTTTATAAGAAGGGAGATAAATTTCTTATTTCAAATTATAGACCAATTTCAATGGTTCCAGTGTTATCAAAAATAGTTGAATCCTGTGCTAAAGCCCAGATCTTTGATTTTCTTAACTTAAATAATATTTTAAACAATAACCAATTTGGTTTCAGACCGGGCCATTCAACTACTTTGGCTATAGAATCGGTGGTGTCTGATATTTTGGATAGTTTTGAATCTGGTGGTTATCTTAGTGTGGCACTTTTAGACCTCAGTAAGGCCTTCGATTCGGTCTTACATACAATTCTTTTGCAGAAATTAGAGTTTTATGGAATAATGGAGCACGAACTAAATTTTTTTAAATCATACCTCTGTGGAAGACTACAATTTTTTAATTTAGGAAAACATAGGTCAAATTTTAAGGAGGTCCTTGCTGGGGTTCCTCAAGGGTCAGTACTGGGTCCGGTTTTGTTTATTCTCTATATTAATGATTTGCCAAACTCCATACCTTACAAAACAATTTTATATACTGACGACACAACCTTCATCTCATCAGCTGACAACTTTTACTCTGCAAACCAAAGTATAGAAAACGCCATTGAATTGGGTAAGCTGTGGTTTGAAAGTAATTTTCTGGAAATAAATCATGATAAAACAGAAAAAATTTGTTTTACTTTGCGTAATCTTGAAGCAGACAATGCAGTTTCTGTCAAACTACTCGGAATATCCATAGACTCTAAACTCACTTGGGAAATACATACCAATAATATCATTTCAAAATTGTCAAGAGTATGTTGTTTGATAAGAAAACTTAAAAATTGTGTTTCTAAACCAACACTTCTAATTGTTTACCACAGTTTATTTCACTCACGATTGCTGTATGGCAATATACTGTGGGGTAATAGCTCAGGAGCTCACCGGGTCTTTCTTTACATGGCAAAAGAAGGCTCTCAGAATTATGTTTGAAATTCCAGATAGGGTTAGTTGCAAAGCATTTTTTGCTGAAAATAAAATCATGACACTCTCTAATATTTTCATTTTTTACAATTTAGTTTCCGTTAAAGAGAATCTGAATAAATTTGTTCCTTGCAACTCAATCCATGGGTATATCACCAGACAATCAAAAGATTTATATATTCCTCAAGCCAGGCTATCAAAATTTATCAAAAGTTATAAATATTTGCAAATAAAACTATTTAATAAACTTCCAATATATTTTAGAAATCAGTAAAGTATTCATTTGTATAGGTCAAAATTATCAGATTGGCTTACAAGTCGTGCTTTTTATTCAGTTGATGAGTTTTTGCAGAATGAAGATTTTTCAACGCTTAAATGTGAGGCCAAGCAGTCTTGATGATTCTTTGTTCTTGTTATGGTCTTTTCCCTGTTAATTTTAAAGTTTTCATTATTACTGATGCTTTATCCGTTTAAGATTCTTTTAACTTTATTTTAACATTTTCTGTAGAATATTTAATATTTTATATAACATATGTAACAAAACATGTTGACCTTGTCTATTGTAATGTTTATATTACCAAACGACAATAAAGATTTATTATTATTATTGGTAACGGAGAAAATTAAAAAATTGTAAATTTAAAATTCCCATGTTATTCTTATGGAGAATATTGTAAAATGTTGTAGTTAGCTTGTTTATAGATATATTTTGATAAAACTTGGCAAATTTATTTATTTTATACTAAGCTATTAATATTTTACTAAAACACATTAGTTTCAGTTTCCTTGTAGCAGCAAACCTAGGTACCTACTTGTTAAACCTAATGTTATTTAAATAGTTTAAATTGAAAATCAATTCAGATAAATGGAAATTCGCTTAGTCGGCAGGTTTGCTGCGGCGGGGGTATTAGGGTCAAAAATGGGAAAACCCCATTTTCACCCCATAAAACCCCCCATAAACCCCCGTTCCCACGGTCCAATTATGCTGGATCGCGAATTCATTTGAATAATTCAATCGGTCCCGGGTCCAGGTCTTACCATGAGTACTACAGTAATAGCTTATTCCCTATAGCCTATGGGAAATTTGCTAAAATGCATTTATTTTAACCACAGTGTTATGACATTAGTGTTTAATAATAATTTCTCTCATATGGGCCCCATTGCATTCCCATAGAAAGCCCAATCTAGCAGTCAAATTTTCAAATACCCTTTCCAGCAGCTGGGGGCGTATTCCGTCAATAACCAAGGCCCCACTAGAAAAACAGGCCATGCTGCAGGATCCATGACGTCACATTAGTGGATAGATTCATTGATAAATTCACTGCTATTTTGCAATATCCCATATGTTTTAGGTAAATAAATTGGCTGTTTGTCAGATTGTAGATGGTAAGATAGAACAACTATCCACTATCTATTGTAGATTGGTAGATGGTACAACTATCCACCACTATGACAAGTGTTGCGCTGCCTGTGCTTCTAGTGGGGCCTTGCAGTAACTCGTTGAATGTTGACTTTAGAGTCTTTCAGCAGACTTGGGGCTTGACATATCAACGTTGACAGTAGTCTGTCGGCGTGATATCAAACGACCATGGAGGCCAGTAACAGTCTCTATACGAGATGATGAGTTCACCAAACGTTTGTCTCAAGAGACCAATTGTGTCGTATGCTGTGTGGAATGTCGCGTCGTCTTCATGTTGAAACCACATATTTTCTAAATCCACTTCGATTTCTTTAGCTGAGGAACGAAAAAGTCCCTTACCATTGCCCAATAGCGTTGACCATTTAACAGTCTGGCTAGCATCGTCTTAAAAAAAAATAAGGGTTAATAACACCACCTGCCCAAATGACACACCAAACGGTAAGACTTTGTAGGTGAAGGGGCACACTAACACATTCCTAGAGGATACAAATATTGAAATGACAACATAATTTAAAAAAAAATCAGCTGTTTAACAATGCTACCAACTTAAAAAAAAAAAACAAAAAAATCATCCTGTAGTATAGTATGGCTCAAATCACATTATCAAATTTTATGACTATCATTCGAATTAATATTGTGCTGAGTAGACATATTTAAGGAGATCCTGTAAATTTTAATATATTTATACAACCCCGACTCTTAGGTATTTGAAAGTCATGATGGGTAAAAATTATCATTGAATAAATAAGATGTAGGGCTTAAACTGTGAGTTCCAATGCATTAACTTAATAACACTGTGATATGTACAATAAAGTGCTCTTTTTATTTATTTTTTTTTAAGAAGCACCAGAGTTTGATGTGCTCTTTTACTCATTTAAAGGATAAACCTGTAGTAATCCCAGAAAGAGTGAAAGAAAAGAAAATGCCTCATGTGCCAGAGTTTGTGAGAAATGTAATGGGATCAAGTGCAGGAGCTGGCAGTGGAGAATTCCATGTATATCGTCATCTCAGGAGGAAGGAATATGCAAGACAAAAGTTTATCCAAGAAAAAAGTGAAAAAGTAAGTTTCATTATTATGAACTAGCGGTATAAATATATGATGTAGGGAAAGATACAAGATGTAAACCAAAAAGATAGTGGGATCTTTTATTAACAAAATATGCTGTCATAGTTTCAAAATCTGAGTTTTGCAATATACCATTCTAGTTTTAATAACAGTAATATAATAAATAATATTTTGTTAATATGTTACTTATTAAACCTTACAAATAGTATCTTCTTATAGCAGCCTTAAGCTTATTTTCCACTTAAAGGCATGTACTTTAAGTTTTGTATTGATAAAAACTGTCTTGCACAAGTAGAACAGTTGGCTCATATAAAAACATCTCTCATATTTGTCCCGTACTTATATCTTTCAACATATATACAGTACTTGAGACTTTGTTAAATGGAAAATTACCTTCACTTGCAACAACAGCCTCTTTGTGATGTTGATAACTCAATTACTCAGTGCTGCTTCACATTCCTCATTGTACCAGAGACAGTAATGTAATTTCTGTAATGTAAACATGTCAATTGGGCATGTTGGTTTTCAGTTTCCATTCATAGGATAAATATCTCCATGATCCAGTCTTACAAGGTTGGCCTACTAAAAATATTTTTTGTCACACAACACAGTTTTATTAAAGACTTTCCAAGCAACGATTTAGTGTGGACAACAGCTTTTTGCCGTCTGCTTGATCAAATGCAATTTCATCACATCCAACTGTACTGTACTGTAATACATTTTGACAATGCGTGGTTATAAACTAAAACACAACCTCTCTTAGAAGTTATGATTAGTGATCGATAAGTCCTTTAGTCAGTGTGAATGCATGAGGAATTTGTACACTTTATTTATTGGCCGGTTTAGGGTAGTATGGCAAAAAATATCGTACACCACTCATCCAAAATGTGTATACCGCACTCGTATGATAACAACCTTACTCGTCCGGTAAACACTTATTTTTGGAACTAGTTACACTATATACTATTACAGAAGTAGGAATAAATTTTGCTGTTAACTCTCAATAATTTATTATTGTATGTTTTACGGTAGAAATTATTTTTAAGAGAGTTAAAGTTCAGCTAACTTACCAGAGAAAGTTTTGATTCTTCGGGATACTTGAATAAAAAATCACAATATATAACACTGATATGTTGTCCTGATAAATGACTTCTTCAGTGAGTAGATTGACTTCTACTGTCAAGTTAAGTTAGTCGAAGTTTACTTCTTCTAATAATAATTCCTAACCAGCCTCTTGGTTTACCTCGGTAAAGTATTACCTGTTGTATGTTTTAGCAATTACTTGAAGAAGCTTATCACCAAAAACTTTTAGATAATATGCAAGCCGCAGAAGAAAGAACTGCCAAGAAACGAGCCAAACGATTGCGTAAAAAACAAAACTATAAAAAGAACAAACTGCTCAAACCTAAATTGAACAATAGCGGTCAATCCCAAACAGAAAGTGAATCCGAGGATAGGAGTGAAAGCGAAGCAGACAAAAACAGAGAGGAGGAAGAAGAAAATACTGTGAGTAGAAATGAAGACATTAGTAATACAGAAGAATGCAAGCAACAAAAGAATACAGAAAATACAAAGATTAGGAATAATTCTGAAGAAGACGAAAATGTTGAAACTGGAAATGGATCAGGAGAGATGTACTGCAATGAAAAAAAGTGGATGGTTAAGAAACAGCTGAATCCAAACTAAAAGAAGCAGACTCGTAGATTAAGAGATTGACTTGGTAAAGATGCATGATTACAACAGATATTTGCTTCTGTAAATATGTAATATAGTTTAATTCTAATGAAAGTTGGCATTTTGATTGTCAGTATCCCTTTTTTAAAACGTTTTTATTAGCTCGCTTTCTTGTCCGGTACAAATTTCGCAATCAATTTTATACTAATTTACCGATGAGCTAGAGACTTGAAACATAGCTCACAAATGGAAGACAATGCAATATTATATCATTTAATTTTCATATTTCCCTTGGGCTACGCCCCATGGGATTGTTTTCATTAACTCGCTTTCTTGCAAATTTTGATACTTCCCCATGAGCTAGAGACTTGAAATTTGAAACATAGCTCATAAATGGAAGACAATGCAATATTATGTCATTTAATTTTCATATTTCTCTTGGGCTACGCCCCATGGGCTTGTTTTTATTAGCTCGCTTTCCTACAAATTTTGATATCAATTTTAAACAAAGTTCCCGATGAGCAAGAGACTTGAAATTTGAAACATAGCTCACAAATGGATGACAATGCAATATTATGTAATTTAATTTTCATATTTCCCTTGGGCTACGCCCCATGGGCCTCCAAAATTTTCATGTTTACATTTTGAAAGCATGTAAATATATCAATTAGTTTAAGTCAGCTGTAATAGCTATTTACCTTACAAGTGTAGTAAGAGCGTTTTTACATCACGCAGGTGAATGTTGTGCAACGAGCGTAAGCGAGTTGCATAATTTACCGAAGTGATGTAAACACGCTCTTGTGTAACGTGTAACGTACAAGATTTTACCTGACCCGACAATATACAGGAGGTTACGAACAATATTTTTCATTATCCATTTCACTCATCTTCTAACAGTAACGTTCATTTACAAACAAAAGCTAGGTTAGGAAAATTCTTCTAAACATAACAATAAAATTCAAGCGCGCAGCTGATTTCTAGCGTTGAATGTCGTTGGCTCTTTGGAGAGGTATATTTTTTAAGTTAAGCACTCAATGTTATTTAAATGGGTTTCATTACATCACCGAGTGAGTTTTTTTTTCAACTTTACATCACTCGAGAAGTAACGAAGTTATATACATCACGCTTGGGATAGGGAAGTTTAACAGGGCGGGTCAGGTAAATACTTAAATTTGACAGTTCAAAGAGCAGAGGTTAAGAGGTACAGGTTTTGCTCCCAAGAGATTCTGTATACAAACATTTCAAAATAAAGATAAACAATCTGATTGCAGATATAAAGGCGTTTGTTAATAATGTCAATTGTTATTTATTTATTATTCTAAAAAGTAGACAATAAATTAAATAGATTGATATATTTATAGTTAGTAGGTAGGCCATACATTCAATCTAATACATATAATTATATGAAAAGAAACTCAAATAAACCTTAGATTTCCCACATGCATCTGTCTTAATCTGATATAGATGCTTGAAATAGATTTAACATCCTCACACATTAAAAACTAAAAAGTAGAAAATAATGTATAAATAAAAAACTTTTTAAGACAAAACGTTTTTAAACGCACTAAAAAGTAGAAGATAATTTAGAAATATGTGGAGAGTATAAATACTTGTGAGATTTAAAACAAAAAACGTGGGGTGCATGCAATTGATAATAATACATTAGTTCAATAGGTGAAGGTAGGTGTAAATTATCTATTGCATGCACCCCACGTTTTTCGTTTTAAATGTTACAAGTATTTATACTCTCCACATATTTCTAAATTATTTTCTACTTTTTAGTGCGTTTAAAAACGTTTTGTCTTAAAAAGTTTTTTATTTATACATTATTTTTGTATACATACAACAGAACAATCCTATATATAATATGAGTAAAGTTTGAATACTTGTTACCTTCAACTCGGAATTGGCACCAAGAAACACCTTTATGGCGTGGAAGTCTTGAGGGCGTAAAGCAGAGACTCAAGCTTTAGTGCACATATAGTCAGTGAGTGCTATATTATTTCTTCTAAATCTGTTTAGTTGCGACATACCTTCTTTTACTTCTGTGTGTCCTTAGGTTTAGTTTAATTAGAGAAGAGAAATCATTTTACACTTGTAATTACTTGAATGCTAGGCTATTAGTTCACAGTAATTAATTATTGTTGTTTTAACTTGGAAATAGTGCCTTGTAAGGCTTTCACAGATCATTAACAATACAGTAATATGAAAAACTTTTTTTTCCTTGTGTTAATAACCAAATAAGTAAAATAAAATGAATACCACAATTCAAAATTTGGTCCCATAAAATTAAGTTTTAACAACAGTAATGCCTCTAAAACAAATTACTTACTGACAGTTTTTTTTATCTGTTGTTTTATTTAGATTCATGTTCAGTACCATGTGTATACATTTTGAGGCTTATGGTATTTTTTTGTTCCCATGAAGGTAGAGAAAACGCTTAACTTCAAACAGGTTTGATGAGTAACATAATTTACAATAAGCTACTACAACGATTCACTAAACATCTACTTAGTATACCTAAGTAATGCCCACTTTTTTGTTGTGCAGTCTTAACTTTTGCCTCTTTTAATCTCTCTTGAAGGATTTCCTTTTAAAACATAGTAAACCTCTCGGCAATTTATGATTCTTTCGTAATTTTTTATCAACCAAAGTGAAATGATGATGTCCAAAATCTGGAACATATGTGAATAAAGGATGTTTTAAAGGTAGTTAAAGTGGCTTGGAATACTTCATTCAACTACTTCAATCTTAATTTGAAACAAAGTTATTAGACATAAGACATATTTTATTTACACAAAACGTTCTTTATAAAGTACATTTCATACATAAGAACAGGTGTTTCCTCATAGTGAAGTATTTTATAATAAAATTAATAGTTAAAATAATTAAAAAAAACTCATGTAGGATATCAGAGAATTTTTATCTACACTATAGGGTTCTCCAAAAATTCGTCAAGTGAATAGTAGGCTTTCTCAATTATTTTATCTATTATTTTGTCTTTGAATTGAGTAGCATTTAAATTTTTAAGATACAGGGGTAATTCATTGTACAATCTAAGTCCCATATATTGAGGGCTGTTCCTAAAAGTCGTCAATTTGTGATGTGGTAATCTGAAATTATATTTATTCCTTGTATTATAATTATGTGTAAATTTGACTACATCTGACAAATTTTCCTTAGTGTTATGTATCCAATTTAGAATTTCATTTATGTATAATCCAAAAATGGTGTGAATTCTAAGATTTTTAAACAGGTTTTTACATGATTTTCTCCTTCTTGATTTGGTTAAGATTCTAATAATTTTTTTCTGTAAAATTAGTAGGGATTTGACTTCTGTTGACACTCCCCACAATATGATTCCATACCTCAAAATGGATTCAACGTATCCATAGTAAACTGTGATACATGTATCCTGGGGTACACAGTTTATCAGGTGAAAGAAAGCAAAATAAATAGATCTTAGTTTACCTTTCATCTTATCTATGTGAATCTTCCAATTAATATGAGTATCAAGCAATACACCCAAAAATCTATGAGATTCTACTAAATTTGGAATTTTATCAAGAATTACATTGTTTTTTAAAGAAAATTTGATTATATGAGTTTTGTCAATATTCAGCTTTAAACCATTATCTGAAAACCAATTTTTCATACAATCCAAAGTGTTTTCCATTTATACAATTAAGTTATTTACTGAATCCTCTCTTATGATTGCTGTTGTATCATCAGCAAATAAGATTAAATCTCTGCCAATAGCTTTTGGAAGGTCATTAATAAAGATCAGGAAAAACAGAGGACCCAATATTGACCATTGAGGTACACCATAATTAGATAAATTCCAGTTTGACATATGTTTCACACCGTTTTTGGTCACTATTGTTCTATACTTTCTGTTCTGTAAGTAAGAGTCTAATAAAGAAAAACTTTTAATCTTTATACCGTAGTCTTTTGATTTAGAAAGCAAAATTGAATGATCCACACAATCAAAGGCTTTAGACAGGTCACAGAAAACACCAGCAGTAGTTTCAGACCTGTCCAAAGCCTTTGTAACATCATTGATAAATTCAATCAGTGCACTGTTAGTGCTGAATGTCTTCCTAAACCCAAACTGTTTTTCATAAAACAAATCATTGCTGTTAAAATAGTTTACTAGCCGGAAATTGATAACTTTTTCAAATATCTTTGAAAAAGCCCCTTTTTTGTATATCGGAGTAATATGAGAGTATTTCAATTTTTCCGGGAAAATACCACATTCAAAACATTTATTAATTATATCTGAGAGGGGTTCAGCAATTTTATTTGCTACTGCTTTGATGAGTGAAATGGGAACTTCATCCCAACCCACCGATGTCTTATTTTCCAAAGAAAATATTATTTTTTAAATTTCATTTTTGTTGGTTCAAAGTTATACAGTGAACACCCCTTTATATTCACAGATATTTTCATATTTGGGTGGACACCCTTTACAATAGGATTTGGCAAGTTTAAGCTATTAACAACATTAAAAAAAAGAATTAAAAGTTTTGTTAACAACATTTTGGTCTTCAATTATTTCATTATTAGGGACTTTTAATTAAATATGATTGCCACAACTATCCTCTTTTCTAATGCCTAATTCGTTATTTACAACTTTCCACATAGCTTTTGGTTTATTTAATGCATTATTTATATATTTGCTGTTAGACCTTTTTTTAGAACTGTTTACAACTTTACGAAATATCTTTTTATAAGACTTTACATAGTTAAGAAAAATTGGGATTGTACTGGTTTTGGCTTGCCAATGCAACTCGCGCTTTCTTTTGCTAGAAACCTTAATACCTGTTGTTACCCAATCCAATATAACAGTTTTTATCTTAGATTTCTTTTTTACAGCCTTTAGTGGGAAATAATGATTCAACTGCCCTATAAAATACCTCAAAAAATGGTTGTAACTATCATTAACATTACAATTATCCAAACATAATTGACTTTTGTAAATTTCAAAACTTTTTACATATTCGTTCATAGCATTTTTACTAAAAGTTCTTTTATAAAAAACCTTTTTGTTTTTGTCATTTATCAATTTGTTAGGTAGATTTATAAACAGTGCATTATGGTCAGATAAAATTATTCTCAAAGTAGTACAAGACACGCCAAAAGTAAATGAATTCTGTGCACTAGAGGATCAGGGGTATGTCGGCACTAGAACTGATTTATGCCCGATGATTGATTAAGAATCCCTAAAGAGCTTGTTGTTATCAATGGCAAAGTTTGACACTTTAAACACTAAGGCCAAGTATAGCTCAGGAATCAGTTTGTCAAATCTAATCTGCGTGTGCTTGTGTATTTTATAGTGGCATTTGTCAGATTTGGCCAACGGTGGCATGGTTGCTCATTTGGCTTAGGCGTTGCACTGGCGAGTGTGACATTGAGGTCTTTCTACATATGCACTGATTTAAATGTGCACTGATTACATGTGCAATCTATAGCTTACTAATGTATGGCTCAGCTGGTGTGAATGACCAACCTTAACCCTCGTGAGGGTTGAGGGTATGAGGGGCCGCTTTCGGAGTTTTTCTTCTTAAGATTTTGTAAAATAAAGTACTAAATGGGCTATACCAGTTGTGTCCGGCTATCTACTTGACACGCCATATACCTGGACTACGCCAAAACAATATTTACCCCCTACCCCTCTCCTAGGATCAGTTTGAGTTGCGAGTAATTATGGTGCAGTCGAGTTGCAGAGGTTTTCTCTTTGTATGCCCTATCTAGTTTGTAGTTTGTGCAGAGTGTAGTTTCAAAAATAATTACCAGATAAAACAAATTAACGGTGTCGGCAAACTGACATATACTTTCTCTCATTAGCTTGTCAAAATCCTTATAATGAGTAGGTATAGTGGTGGAAGTAAGAATGATATTTTATGAGTAAAATCACAAAAATTGCAATAAATTTTGAATAATGTTACATTGAAATGATTATAGTCTAGTTTTTACAGCATTGCAATATTTTGTTTAGAGTTAAAAGGACCATACTACTAAATTATCAAATCAATATGTTCTCGCCATTTTTGTGAAGATTATCTGATTATCCTGTAATTTTATGGGGTTTTATGGAAAATCACCATTAAAAATCTAAATTACATAAAAAGTAAAATACCCCTGGAGTTACCATGGATTAGTACATACCAAACTTCGGCAAAATCCGAGGTGTAGTCTGTAGCTCTGAACACAACCACACACAGGTCCGTCAGTCGCTCTGCCGGCATCCATTAGTAGATATCAGATCTCTTTCCACCAATATTTTGGATTTAGAAAGTCAACAAACGACTTTAAAAATGTTTTCATTATCAACTGAGATGGGGACGTCTCTCAGGTATATATTTTAAACCAAATATGAGTGTAGAATGGGTGTAGAATGGATTGAGATAATCTGTGTAGCTTTGTTACTGACTAAGTTCAGCAGTTTCATTAGCTAGGATCATTTATTCAAATCCCAATGATCAGGAACAGCTGAGTACAACTATCCACCACTATGACATAGTGTTGCGCTGCCTGTGCTTCTAGTGGGGCCTTGCAGTAACTCGTTGAATGTTGACTTTAGAGTCTTTCAGCAGACTTGGGGCTTGACATATCAACGTTGACAGTAGTCTGTCGGCGTGATATCAAACGACCATGGAGGCCAGTCAACAGTCTCTATACGAGATGATGAGTTCACCAAACGTTTGTCTCAAGAGACCAATTGTGTCGTATGCTGTGTGGAATGTCGCGTCGTCTTCATGTTGAAACCACATATTTTCTAAATCCACTTCGATTTCTTTAGCTGAGGAACGAAAAAGTCCCTTACCATTGCCCAATAGCGTTGACCATTTAACAGTCTGGCTAGCATCGTCTTAAAAAAAAATAAGGGTTAATAACACCACCTGCCCAAATGACACACCAAACGGTAAGACTTTGTAGGTGAAGGGGCACACTAACACATACCTAGAGGATACAAATATTGAAATGACAACATAATTTTAAAAAAAATCAGCTGTTTAACAATGCTACCAACTTAAAAAAAAACAAAAAAATCATCCTGTAGTATAGTATGGCTCAAATCACATTATCAAATTTTATGACTATCATTCGAATTAATATTGTGCTGAGTAGACATATTTAAGGAGATCCTGTAAATTTTAATATATTTATACAACCCCGACTCTTAGGTATTTGAAAGTCATGATGGGTAAAAATTATCATTGAATAAATAAGATGTAGGGCTTAAACTGTGAGTTCCAATGCATTAACTTAATAACACTGTGATATGTACAATAAAGTGCTCTTTTTATTTATTTTTTTTTAAGAAGCACCAGAGTTTGATGTGCTCTTTTACTCATTTAAAGGATAAACCTGTAGTAATCCCAGAAAGAGTGAAAGAAAAGAAAATGCCTCATGTGCCAGAGTTTGTGAGAAATGTAATGGGATCAAGTGCAGGAGCTGGCAGTGGAGAATTCCATGTATATCGTCATCTCAGGAGGAAGGAATATGCAAGACAAAAGTTTATCCAAGAAAAAAGTGAAAAAGTAAGTTTCATTATTATGAACTAGCGGTATAAATATATGATGTAGGGAAAGATACAAGATGTAAACCAAAAAGATAGTGGGATCTTTTATTAACAAAATATGCTGTCATAGTTTCAAAATCTGAGTTTTGCAATATACCATTCTAGTTTTAATAACAGTAATATAATAAATAATATTTTGTTAATATGTTACTTATTAAACCTTACAAATAGTATCTTCTTATAGCAGCCTTAAGCTTATTTTCCACTTAAAGGCATGTACTTTAAGTTTTGTATTGATAAAAACTGTCTTGCACAAGTAGAACAGTTGGCTCATATAAAAACATCTCTCATATTTGTCCCGTACTTATATCTTTCAACATATATACAGTACTTGAGACTTTGTTAAATGGAAAATTACCTTCACTTGCAACAACAGCCTCTTTGTGATGTTGATAACTCAATTACTCAGTGCTGCTTCACATTCCTCATTGTACCAGAGACAGTAATGTAATTTCTGTAATGTAAACATGTCAATTGGGCATGTTGGTTTTCAGTTTCCATTCATAGGATAAATATCTCCATGATCCAGTCTTACAAGGTTGGCCTACTAAAAATATTTTTTGTCACACAACACAGTTTTATTAAAGACTTTCCAAGCAACGATTTAGTGTGGACAACAGCTTTTTGCCGTCTGCTTGATCAAATGCAATTTCATCACATCCAACTGTACTGTACTGTAATACATTTTGACAATGCGTGGTTATAAACTAAAACACAACCTCTCTTAGAAGTTATGATTAGTGATCGATAAGTCCTTTAGTCAGTGTGAATGCATGAGGAATTTGTACACTTTATTTATTGGCCGGTTTAGGGTAGTATGGCAAAAAATATCGTACACCACTCATCCAAAATGTGTATACCGCACTCGTATGATAACAACCTTACTCGTCCGGTAAACACTTATTTTTGGAACTAGTTACACTATATACTATTACAGAAGTAGGAATAAATTTTGCTGTTAACTCTCAATAATTTATTATTGTATGTTTTACGGTAGAAATTATTTTTAAGAGAGTTAAAGTTCAGCTAACTTACCAGAGAAAGTTTTGATTCTTCGGGATACTTGAATAAAAAATCACAATATATAACACTGATATGTTGTCCTGATAAATGACTTCTTCAGTGAGTAGATTGACTTCTACTGTCAAGTTAAGTTAGTCGAAGTTTACTTCTTCTAATAATAATTCCTAACCAGCCTCTTGGTTTACCTCGGTAAAGTATTACCTGTTGTATGTTTTAGCAATTACTTGAAGAAGCTTATCACCAAAAACTTTTAGATAATATGCAAGCCGCAGAAGAAAGAACTGCCAAGAAACGAGCCAAACGATTGCGTAAAAAACAAAACTATAAAAAGAACAAACTGCTCAAACCTAAATTGAACAATAGCGGTCAATCCCAAACAGAAAGTGAATCCGAGGATAGGAGTGAAAGCGAAGCAGACAAAAACAGAGAGGAGGAAGAAGAAAATACTGTGAGTAGAAATGAAGACATTAGTAATACAGAAGAATGCAAGCAACAAAAGAATACAGAAAATACAAAGATTAGGAATAATTCTGAAGAAGACGAAAATGTTGAAACTGGAAATGGATCAGGAGAGATGTACTGCAATGAAAAAAAGTGGATGGTTAAGAAACAGCTGAATCCAAACTAAAAGAAGCAGACTCGTAGATTAAGAGATTGACTTGGTAAAGATGCATGATTACAACAGATATTTGCTTCTGTAAATATGTAATATAGTTTAATTCTAATGAAAGTTGGCATTTTGATTGTCAGTATCCCTTTTTTAAAACGTTTTTATTAGCTCGCTTTCTTGTCCGGTACAAATTTCGCAATCAATTTTATACTAATTTACCGATGAGCTAGAGACTTGAAACATAGCTCACAAATGGAAGACAATGCAATATTATATCATTTAATTTTCATATTTCCCTTGGGCTACGCCCCATGGGATTGTTTTCATTAACTCGCTTTCTTGCAAATTTTGATACTTCCCCATGAGCTAGAGACTTGAAATTTGAAACATAGCTCATAAATGGAAGACAATGCAATATTATGTCATTTAATTTTCATATTTCTCTTGGGCTACGCCCCATGGGCTTGTTTTTATTAGCTCGCTTTCCTACAAATTTTGATATCAATTTTAAACAAAGTTCCCGATGAGCAAGAGACTTGAAATTTGAAACATAGCTCACAAATGGATGACAATGCAATATTATGTAATTTAATTTTCATATTTCCCTTGGGCTACGCCCAATAATTATTTTCCCAATGATTTAATTTTCATGTTTACATTTTGAAAGCATGTAAATATATCAATTAGTTTAAGTCAGCTGTAATAGCTATTTACCTTACAAGTGTAGTAAGAGCGTTTTTACATCACGCAGGTGAATGTTGTGCAACGAGCGTAAGCGAGTTGCATAATTTACCGAAGTGATGTAAACACGCTCTTGTGTAACGTGTAACGTACAAGATTTTACCTGACCCGACAATATACAGGAGGTTACGAACAATATTTTTCATTATCCATTTCACTCATCTTCTAACAGTAACGTTCATTTACAAACAAAAGCTAGGTTAGGAAAATTCTTCTAAACATAACAATAAAATTCAAGCGCGCAGCTGATTTCTAGCGTTGAATGTCGTTGGCTCTTTGGAGAGGTATATTTTTTAAGTTAAGCACTCAATGTTATTTAAATGGGTTTCATTACATCACCGAGTGAGTTTTTTTTTCAACTTTACATCACTCGAGAAGTAACGAAGTTATATACATCACGCTTGGGATAGGGAAGTTTAACAGGGCGGGTCAGGTAAATACTTAAATTTGACAGTTCAAAGAGCAGAGGTTAAGAGGTACAGGTTTTGCTCCCAAGAGATTCTGTATACAAACATTTCAAAATAAAGATAAACAATCTGATTGCAGATATAAAGGCGTTTGTTAATAATGTCAATTGTTATTTATTTATTATTCTAAAAAGTAGACAATAAATTAAATAGATTGATATATTTATAGTTAGTAGGTAGGCCATACATTCAATCTAATACATATAATTATATGAAAAGAAACTCAAATAAACCTTAGATTTCCCACATGCATCTGTCTTAATCTGATATAGATGCTTGAAATAGATTTAACATCCTCACACATTAAAAACTAAAAAGTAGAAAATAATGTATAAATAAAAAACTTTTTAAGACAAAACGTTTTTAAACGCACTAAAAAGTAGAAGATAATTTAGAAATATGTGGAGAGTATAAATACTTGTGAGATTTAAAACAAAAAACGTGGGGTGCATGCAATTGATAATAATACATTAGTTCAATAGGTGAAGGTAGGTGTAAATTATCTATTGCATGCACCCCACGTTTTTCGTTTTAAATGTTACAAGTATTTATACTCTCCACATATTTCTAAATTATTTTCTACTTTTTAGTGCGTTTAAAAACGTTTTGTCTTAAAAAGTTTTTTATTTATACATTATTTTTGTATACATACAACAGAACAATCCTATATATAATATGAGTAAAGTTTGAATACTTGTTACCTTCAACTCGGAATTGGCACCAAGAAACACCTTTATGGCGTGGAAGTCTTGAGGGCGTAAAGCAGAGACTCAAGCTTTAGTGCACATATAGTCAGTGAGTGCTATATTATTTCTTCTAAATCTGTTTAGTTGTGACATACCTTCTTTTACTTCTGTGTGTCCTTAGGTTTAGTTTAATTAGAGAAGAGAAATCATTTTACACTTGTAATTACTTGAATGCTAGGCTATTAGTTCACAGTAATTAATTATTGTTGTTTTAACTTGGAAATAGTGCCTTGTAAGGCTTTCACAGATCATTAACAATACAGTAATATGAAAAACTTTTTTTTCCTTGTGTTAATAACCAAATAAGTAAAATAAAATGAATACCACAATTCAAAATTTGGTCCCATAAAATTAAGTTTTAACAACAGTAATGCCTCTAAAACAAATTACTTACTGACAGTTTTTTTTATCTGTTGTTTTATTTAGATTCATGTTCAGTACCATGTGTATACATTTTGAGGCTTATGGTATTTTTTTGTTCCCATGAAGGTAGAGAAAACGCTTAACTTCAAACAGGTTTGATGAGTAACATAATTTACAATAAGCTACTACAACGATTCACTAAACATCTACTTAGTATACCTAAGTAATGCCCACTTTTTTGTTGTGCAGTCTTAACTTTTGCCTCTTTTAATCTCTCTTGAAGGATTTCCTTTTAAAACATAGTAAACCTCTCGGCAATTTATGATTCTTTCGTAATTTTTTATCAACCAAAGTGAAATGATGATGTCCAAAATCTGGAACATATGTGAATAAAGGATGTTTTAAAGGTAGTTAAAGTGGCTTGGAATACTTCATTCAACTACTTCAATCTTAATTTGAAACAAAGTTATTAGACATAAGACATATTTTATTTACACAAAACGTTCTTTATAAAGTACATTTCATACATAAGAACAGGTGTTTCCTCATAGTGAAGTATTTTATAATAAAATTAATAGTTAAAATAATTAAAAAAAACTCATGTAGGATATCAGAGAATTTTTATCTACACTATAGGGTTCTCCAAAAATTCGTCAAGTGAATAGTAGGCTTTCTCAATTATTTTATCTATTATTTTGTCTTTGAATTGAGTAGCATTTAAATTTTTAAGATACAGGGGTAATTCATTGTACAATCTAAGTCCCATATATTGAGGGCTGTTCCTAAAAGTCGTCAATTTGTGATGTGGTAATCTGAAATTATATTTATTCCTTGTATTATAATTATGTGTAAATTTGACTACATCTGACAAATTTTCCTTAGTGTTATGTATCCAATTTAGAATTTCATTTATGTATAATCCAAAAATGGTGTGAATTCTAAGATTTTTAAACAGGTTTTTACATGATTTTCTCCTTCTTGATTTGGTTAAGATTCTAATAATTTTTTTCTGTAAAATTAGTAGGGATTTGACTTCTGTTGACACTCCCCACAATATGATTCCATACCTCAAAATGGATTCAACGTATCCATAGTAAACTGTGATACATGTATCCTGGGGTACACAGTTTATCAGGTGAAAGAAAGCAAAATAAATAGATCTTAGTTTACCTTTCATCTTATCTATGTGAATCTTCCAATTAATATGAGTATCAAGCAATACACCCAAAAATCTATGAGATTCTACTAAATTTGGAATTTTATCAAGAATTACATTGTTTTTTAAAGAAAATTTGATTATATGAGTTTTGTCAATATTCAGCTTTAAACCATTATCTGAAAACCAATTTTTCATACAATCCAAAGTGTTTTCCATTTATACAATTAAGTTATTTACTGAATCCTCTCTTATGATTGCTGTTGTATCATCAGCAAATAAGATTAAATCTCTGCCAATAGCTTTTGGAAGGTCATTAATAAAGATCAGGAAAAACAGAGGACCCAATATTGACCATTGAGGTACACCATAATTAGATAAATTCCAGTTTGACATATGTTTCACACCGTTTTTGGTCACTATTGTTCTATACTTTCTGTTCTGTAAGTAAGAGTCTAATAAAGAAAAACTTTTAATCTTTATACCGTAGTCTTTTGATTTAGAAAGCAAAATTGAATGATCCACACAATCAAAGGCTTTAGACAGGTCACAGAAAACACCAGCAGTAGTTTCAGACCTGTCCAAAGCCTTTGTAACATCATTGATAAATTCAATCAGTGCACTGTTAGTGCTGAATGTCTTCCTAAACCCAAACTGTTTTTCATAAAACAAATCATTGCTGTTAAAATAGTTTACTAGCCGGAAATTGATAACTTTTTCAAATATCTTTGAAAAATTACTTAAAACAGATATTGGGCGGTAGTTATTTATATCAGTTCTAGCCCCTTTTTTGTATATCGGAGTAATATGAGAGTATTTCAATTTTTCCGGGAAAATACCACATTCAAAACATTTATTAATTATATCTGAGAGGGGTTCAGCAATTTTATTTGCTACTGCTTTGATGAGTGAAATGGGAACTTCATCCCAACCCACCGATGTCTTATTTTCCAAAGAAAATATTATTTTTTAAATTTCATTTTTGTTGGTTCAAAGTTATACAGTGAACACCCCTTTATATTCACAGATATTTTCATATTTGGGTGGACACCCTTTACAATAGGATTTGGCAAGTTTAAGCTATTAACAACATTAAAAAAAAGAATTAAAAGTTTTGTTAACAACATTTTGGTCTTCAATTATTTCATTATTAGGGACTTTTAATTAAATATGATTGCCACAACTATCCTCTTTTCTAATGCCTAATTCGTTATTTACAACTTTCCACATAGCTTTTGGTTTATTTAATGCATTATTTATATATTTGCTGTTAGACCTTTTTTTAGAACTGTTTACAACTTTACGAAATATCTTTTTATAAGACTTTACATAGTTAAGAAAAATTGGGATTGTACTGGTTTTGGCTTGCCAATGCAACTCGCGCTTTCTTTTGCTAGAAACCTTAATACCTGTTGTTACCCAATCCAATATAACAGTTTTTATCTTAGATTTCTTTTTTACAGCCTTTAGTGGGAAATAATGATTCAACTGCCCTATAAAATACCTCAAAAAATGGTTGTAACTATCATTAACATTACAATTATCCAAACATAATTGACTTTTGTAAATTTCAAAACTTTTTACATATTCGTTCATAGCATTTTTACTAAAAGTTCTTTTATAAAAAACCTTTTTGTTTTTGTCATTTATCAATTTGTTAGGTAGATTTATAAACAGTGCATTATGGTCAGATAAAATTATTCTCAAAGTAGTACAAGACACGCCAAAAGTAAATGAATTCTGTGCACTAGAGGATCATGGGTATGTCGGCACTAGAACTGATTTATGCCCGATGATTGATTAAGAATCCCTAAAGAGCTTGTTGTTATCAATGGCAAAGTTTGACACTTTAAACACTAAGGCCAAGTATAGCTCAGGAATCAGTTTGTCAAATCTAATCTGCGTGTGCTTGTGTATTTTATAGTGGCATTTGTCAGATTTGGCCAACGGTGGCATGGTTGCTCATTTGGCTTAGGCGTTGCACTGGCGAGTGTGACATTGAGGTCTTTCTACATATGCACTGATTTAAATGTGCACTGATTACATGTGCAATCTATAGCTTACTAATGTATGGCTCAGCTGGTGTGAATGACCAACCTTAACCCTCGTGAGGGTTGAGGGTATGAGGGGCCGCTTTCGGAGTTTTTCTTCTTAAGATTTTGTAAAATAAAGTACTAAATGGGCTATACCAGTTGTGTCTGGCTATCTACTTGACACGCCATATACCTGGACTACGCCAAAACAATATTTACCCCCTACCCCTCTCCTAGGATCAGTTTGAGTTGCGAGTAATTATGGTGCAGTCGAGTTGCAGAGGTTTTCTCTTTGTATGCCCTATCTAGTTTGTAGTTTGTGCAGAGTGTAGTTTCAAAAATAATTACCAGATAAAACAAATTAACGGTGTCGGCAAACTGACATATACTTTCTCTCATTAGCTTGTCAAAATCCTTATAATGAGTAGGTATAGTGGTGGAAGTAAGAATGATATTTTATGAGTAAAATCACAAAAATTGCAATAAATTTTGAATAATGTTACATTGAAATGATTATAGTCTAGTTTTTACAGCATTGCAATATTTTGTTTAGAGTTAAAAGGACCATACTACTAAATTATCAAATCAATATGTTCTCGCCATTTTTGTGAAGATTATCTGATTATCCTGTAATTTTATGGGGTTTTATGGAAAATCACCATTAAAAATCTAAATTACATAAAAAGTAAAATACCCCTGGAGTTACCATGGATTAGTACATACCAAACTTCGGCAAAATCCGAGGTGTAGTCTGTAGCTCTGAACACAACCACACACAAACATACACACATGCACACACAACTCAGACATCACTTCAAAAACCACTTTTTTTGATTCAGGGGAACCCAAAACGAATATTTCCACCCAAAGTTCAAACTTAAAATTGTTGACTAAAACAATTCTTTTTTCATACACTTTGTTTAGGGGGAGAAATTAAAAATAGGCTTAGGGCTTAAAGTGTTAATAAAAGTAACTTCAGTTGTAGTATGAAAAATTGTATAAAAGTGTAAAGGTCGATTCACACACATCAGTTCCGGCGCGTCACATCAATTGCATCACAGTAAAAAATGTTTTCTTTAATGAATTTCCTGTTACGCTATCTACACTCATCCGGCACAGGTCCGTCAGTCGCTCTGCCGGCATCCATTAGTAGATATCAGATCTCTTTCCACCAATATTTTGGATTTAGAAAGTCAACAAACGACTTTAAAAATGTTTTCATTATCAACTGAGATGGGGACGTCTCTCAGGTATATATTTTAAACCAAATATGAGTGTAGAATGGGTGTAGAATGGATTGAGATAATCTGTGTAGCTTTGTTACTGACTAAGTTCAGCAGTTTCATTAGCTAGGATCATTTATTCAAATCCCAATGATCAGGAACAGCTGGGTCCGGTTTTGAACCATCAAAAAGCTACTGACTCTTCTCAGGATCAATCCGACAACCTTGCTAGGCGAGCACTATAACCACTCAGCTACTCAGCCATACAAAATTTTCCAGGGGAGGACCACTGAACCCCCCCCCCCCTTTCTTAGGGCGTTTTGGACATTCCACGGTAGCCCCCTCTTGACAAGGTCCCAGAACCGGCATTGGCATAGTATATGTGTAATTTACATGAAGATACAAAAGCTAATACATGCATTTACCAAGAGTAATAATATCACAAGTAGTAAGCCAGCAGCTATTACCAAAAGGATGGTAAAGTAGTTTTCAAGCTTGGATTTGCATCCATGATTGAATGCTTGTTCCTTACTAATGAAATGTTTAATGCAGTCCATCTGGAAAAAAAATCAAATGTCAAATTTATTGTGACAAAATGTTTATAATTTAGTACCTACTGTACAAAATCTCAACATCCAAAGTAAAAGTTTCCCTCCGACTCCTAATTGTTACAAGTATACCACTTATATATCGTTTACCCCGGGCGGCAAAATTACGGTTGTTAGATAATTTTTTTAACCTCTCAAAAAAGTTTGCTTTTGCATACTGTAATGGTTTAGCCTCTAGCCAATACAATGTAAGGGGCTCTTAATAAAATATTTATAAGAACACCGGTGGGATGGGTAGGGGGGACGTTGCAGGGATGGGAGTGGCGGACATGACTGTTCAAGGTCAAAGTCAAGTCGTTTCTTGTATTTACAGCTGTGTGTAGAGTAGAGTGCCGCTGCCTGTGCCATCCTACCCCTGATCCCCTCTCTGCTCCGGCGCCGCAAAGAGCCACTCATTGTCTTAAGGTCTTTTTTTTTGCCAAAACACGCTTGCATGAATCATGCTTCAGTTTTGTTGTAAACCTGTGCTTCTCTTCTCAATATTCCACCTCAATCTGCTCAAAATGGAGTCAAAAGTAGGGGATGGACATCTTTGTGTAATTTGAAGGAATCTATGACTGTCTTCCCTAGAGTTAAATGGTGGTATTCTTCAAACACTCCTCTCCTCTTGTTAATCGGTTGTACCCCCATCGTCTCCTACACCTCCTATTTATCAAAACTAAGTTTTTTTCTTCTTTAAAAGACGATTTTCAGATAGTGGTCTGCACAGTCAACCATCTTAAACTTCACTGTCACCTACAACAGGGTAAATTTGATGAGCCTCAAGAAAATTGCCGCTTCTATCGTAGCCACCACCGCCGCTTACGTAATGCTTAGGTTGCCACTCGCTGTCTGCCGCTCAACACTTGCCACTCTTATCTTATCTTACCCGAGGCCTAGAGTAATTTTCCTCTTTATAAATTAAATAAAGTTATTGAGTATGTTTAGTGAGCTGTATGATCACTGCAAATTTAATAATCTATCTATATATATAATACGCTAAGCCGATTTTTGTGAACAGAACTCCTCCCTCATTTTTGGATCGATTTTAATGGTTAAAAAGTCAAAATAATGGCCCTGATCTGTAGTTTTGCAAAGTGTTTTTCATTTTTTGAAATCTTTATTAGTTTGGGCAGGATCATCCATCAAAGTTGGGTTTTCTCCCATAAGATTAACATGGAGGAATCGAAATATTTAATTGGAAACTTTGTCTCCACTAATTTGAGAGAACGGCTGGGCGTAGAAACTTGGTAGAGGTGTCCAAAGAAAGGTCTTAGATGAGTTATCAAAAGAAAAACGAAGGCAATCCTGTTAGGGCTGTAAAGATTCCTCCACAGATTTGTTTTCATTTTGATCATGTGGATAATACTTTTGAATTAAACAGCTGTTCATTCTTAAATTGTATTTTAAACAACACACGTTTATTGGGAGTTATTGAATTGTACAAAAGAACTATTTGCAACACTATTATTTAGGCTACTGATTTTAAAATTGATTTTCTTCTGTATCATGCCATGTTTTGCAATATAACGTTCGATTACGAAATCAGTTGACAATCATTTTATTGTAACTCTTACAATTATTCCTTATTGAACTATCTTATATCTATTGTAAGGGTTGGTGTCTGCCTTTATTACCACTTTTGCCTATATTTTATCATATTATTGTAGACGGATCATCATAGGTTCATGAGATTATTGTCATAGATGTTTTCAATCATTGGAAAAGTCTTTGATTGTGTAATACAGTACAAGTTCAGAAGGGCACGTTGTCCATATGAGCCGTGTCCATATTTTGTTAAATTAATATTAGTGTACAGCAACTGGATAAAACATTTTACAATATTTATGTAGAAATATGTGCATGATTTCAAAAGTCATTAAACTGGAAAACTGCAATTTACTGCAGACTTTTCAGAGAGGTTACTTTGATGTATTCATTCCGCTTAGTAAAAACATAATAAGGGTATGTATACAAATAAGAACTTCAACTTTAAGAGAGCCTTTGAATGTTATTGGACTAACAAAAAGGGTTCTGCATGTTAACTATCGCTACTCAGCAACAAAAACAATTTAATTTGTCTCTAAAAAATATATTCTTAAGTGGAATGAGCAGCAGCCTAAAAATACTGTGTAACTTACTTATACAGTTACAAAATGCCCAAACTCGCATTTATAATTCGGCTTATATTTCTCCAACAGATTAATTATCTGTAGAAGAAGTTCATTGAGTTCTTATCATGTCTAATAACATCCTTAAACACAGAAACCTTGCCTAGAATGGTACCGGTACCTATCTTTGACAAATTATTTGCAGTGGCCTATATTACGGACCGTGGCCCACTAGGTTGGTAGCATCATTGAAAATAACATGACATTTTGGCTGTAAAAATGGCACAAAGAGTAAATACTATGCAGCTACTGTAATGACAGAAATAAGGCCATATTACTTTTAAACTAGATAACACAATACCTTTATCAGATACGTTGATTAACAATGCATTTAAAAGTCAATATTTACGTAACAGCCAATTTTCAGTATATTCTTTGCTTTTTGGAAATGCCACTTTGCTATGTTATTTGCATTATTTGTTGCCAATGAAGCCGTACGCCAATATAAACGAAAAGGCCCCTAACCGTCGATTTCGACGGGTTTCTCCTAGTTATTATGATTTGTTTTATTTGCTCACTTAAAAATTGTACTTACATGGTTTTAGGGGTTTCATAATAATATACCAATCTTAAAAATTATTACATTTTTAATAATGTAATATAAAAATGTCATTAAACGCTTGGGCCGTTTTTTTTAAACGTTTGTGTGCCTCATGTTAAGATTGACTGGGGCTGCAAATTAAGGACTTGCCCTCCTAGAAAAATATAGCTGCAGCCCTGAGTGTTACAAACATTTATTTAAAGCAACTCTCATGATGAATTTGTACTAAGCATTATTATCCTAAGCATAAATCCCTAGTACACAGGGTAGTAGATGAATTATGTAAATTTGTCTAGTTAAATTTTCTAAACAATTACCATAAAACTTCCAAGGAAATAATTCCTACTTCTTTTAGGCATGAATTCATTCACATTTAAGATGCTCAAGCATACATGCTGGAAGTTGGACTTCTACTAGTATCAAAAGCTGAATTTTTTAACCCTTGTAACAATTAGTTTTAGACTCAAAATTATTTTCTTAAATCATAGTTGTGTTTTATGTAACTACAGTTCATATAGCAGGGGTATGAGCTAAAATATACATGTTTGTTTAGTAAATAGAGGATACATCACAGGGCATTGATGTAGCCTCTAGATAAAATTTACAATAGGCATGATTTAGAATTCCAAATCACTTGGCTTATCCTATACTCTAATATGAGCAATGTTTGCTTGTATGTATGATTGCTTGCTTGCTTGCACCAAGATCTCGAAAACGGCTCCGACGATTTTCTTCAAATGTTGTAAATAGTTTATTCCTGGCCTAAAAACGAGTTTACTGCAGTTCGAACTGCCAACAAAAATCTAATTACGTTGAAAAATGAAACTGAAAGTGACATTTTATTTAAATTAGTCTTATAGGTTCCTAAGTAACCATCTTGGCTGAATTAAATAACAAGGACAAGTAAACAAAAGACAACAAAAGACAAGTAAACAAGTAAACAAAAGACTTGTAAGTTGTCTATCCACAGTATACTAGAAAATATACAGTACAAAAGGAAAAACATCAGTTGTTACTATTGAGCAAAGATTATACTGAAAATTACTCGATACATTGTAGTCAAGGGTAGCAGTGTGGAGTGTGGGATCTGTTTATGACGATTAGATTACGGTATCTGCAATCCAAAAATGCTATGGGGAGGAAAACAGGTCCGTGACGTAGGAAGTGATGAAGGAAGTAGTAAAGGTGAGCAGTCTGGAGTGTGGGAACTAATTATGACGATTTAAGGTATCTACAACTCTAAAATGCTATGGGAAGGGAGGGAAACAGGTCCGTGACGTAGGAAGTGATGAAGGAAGGAGTAAAGGCGAGCTGTCCGGAGTGTAGGAACTGTTTATGAAGATTATATTAAGGTATCTGCAATCCTTAAATTTCATGATGTTAGCCTCCGAATCACTTTAGTTAATTAAAAATGGTTTAAATACCTTAACTGTCAGGTGATCCTTGGAGTAGTATTACACTACTGCAGTTTGAGCTCTCAGGGGGCTTTCTTCAGGTGTCAAAGGAGGTCAAAAGTTGTCATTCATACGAATTCATCACATTTAAACTACGAGAACACAAATACGAATACGGACACGAACACAAACATAAAAAACGAATACACACGTAAGAGTCACAAACATTTCCCATGGGTTGATCGATGCGCGACGCGAAGGGAAGGGAAGGATACAGGTCCGCGACGTAGCAAGTGATGAAGGAAGTAGTAAAGGCGAGCAGTCCGGAGTGTGGGAACTGTTAATGACAATTAGATTAAGATATCTGCAATCCTAAAATGGCGTGGGAAGGGAGGGAAACAGGTCCGTGACGTAAGAGGTAGTGAAGGAAGTCGTAAAGGCGAGCAGTCCGGGGTGTAGGAACTGTTAATGATGATTAGATTAAGGTATCTGCAATCCTGAAATGCTGTGGGAAGGGAGGGAAACAGGTCCGTGACGTAGGAAGTGGTGAAAGAAGTTGTAATGGTGAGCAGTCCGGTGTGTGGGGACTGTTTATGATGATTACATTAAGGTATCTGCAATCCTAAAATGCTATGGAAGGGAGGATAACAGTTCCGAGACGTAGGAAGTGGTGAAGGAAGTAGTCAAGGTGAGCAGTCCGGAGTGTGGGAACTGTTTATGACGATTAGATTTAGTATCTGCAATCCAAAAATGCTATGGGAGGGGAGCAAAACAGGTCCAAGACGTAGGAAGTTGTGAAGGAAGTAGTTAAGGTGAGCTATCCGGAGTGTGGGAACTGTTCATGACGATTATATTAAGGTATCTGAAATCCTAAAATACTATGGGATGGGAGGGAAACAGGTCCGCGACTTAGGAAGGGGTGAAGGAAGTAGAAAAGGCGAGCAGTGTGGAGTGTGGGAAGTGGAAACAGTTTGTAGCAGTTAGAATTATGTAAGCCTATCTGCAATACCACACTGAAATGCTATGGAAAGAGAGGGAAACATGTCCACGACACAGGAAATGGTGAAAGAATTAGTAAAGGCTAGCAGTGCGGAGTGTAGGGAATGGATTCAGGTATCTGCAATACTAAGACTGCTTTCAGAGTAAACTAATGATTATCCCTGAGCAAAGCTCGGTCCCCAGGTAATAGGAGTAATAAAGGAAGGAAGAAAAGGTACACAACTATCCAAGAAAAGAGTCCAGGCAGTCTAAAAACGTTCACTACCCAAATTAATTTGATATTTTGATCCTCCAAGGGAGTTTCTTCAAAAGTGTAATATGGCTTAACTTACAACTCTACACAATTACAAAAGATCATTAATTTAAAAAAATACCCCCGCCGCAGCAAACCTGCAGACTAAGCGAATTTCCATTAACCTGATTGGATTTACACTAAAACGCCTCCATAAAAATAGCACATTTATTTCCTATTTAAATAGAATTAGTTTAACGAGTACTTAGGTTTGCTGCAACAGGAAGGGTAAAAAAGATTTTTTTTATAAAATGATAATAGTTTAGTAAGAAATAAAAGTGTTTTCCAAAATCGATAAAAAAATGTTCATAAATAAGCAAACTACAACAGTTGACTTATTCTCCATAAAAATAACATGGGAATTTTAAAATTACAATTTTTTTGAATTTTCTCCGTTACAATTAGGCGCATAGTAACGCTTCAATATACTGTACTAAATTATTTGTTTTTTAAGCTCTACAAAATGGTTTAAAAAGAAATTGTGAAATTTTGTGTTTTTAGGGTCAAACATGGGAAAGACCTATTTTTACCCCATAAAACCCCCCATAAACCCACGTTCCCATAGTCCAATCATGCTGGTTCGCGAACTCATTCAAGTTTATCCCGCCTTACACCTTCAAACCAAATTTTATCAAAATCGGACAAAAATTACTCAAGTTATCGTGCGGATGGACACATATATATATATATATCTCTCTCTATATATAGATATAGAAAAATTTGAACGAATGGTGTTTTTGGCCTCTGGGAACATCAAAATGAAAAAGGAAATCGGTCCCAGGCTTAGGTCTTACCATGAGACCGACGGTAATAGCTACTTCCCTATAGGGAAATTCGCTAATAGCTAAGCCTAATTTCTGAAATAAAATTAATATTTTTGCGTATTAGGATGTTGCAGAAGTTTCAATCTAAATAATTATAAACCTAACATCTATCTATATTATATAAAGCTAGGATGGGTTTCAACTTTTGAGAAAACCATAAGACGCACACCTATCAACCGCATAATTGAATGAAAGGTCTTGATGTGAAACTGCCCCAAAAATATCAGTTTTTTTATAAACTCTCTCCTAAGGCAAGGCCTCACTAGAAAAACAGGCCATGCTGCAGGATCCATGACGTCACACTAGTGGATAGATTCCATTGATAAATTCATTGCCATTGTCATTCCTATATGTTTTAGGCAAATAAGTCATAGCTGGCTCTTTGTAAGATTTTAATGGTAAGAGTTTAGTACAACTATCCGTAGTGACGTAGTGTTGCGCTGTCTGTGCTGCAGCAAGGCCTGTTTTTCTAGTGGGGCCTTGCCTAAGAGTAGGAATCTATCTATACATTAATAGGCAAGCATGTTTCTTTAAAACCTTTTTTCTCAGCTCGTGTGCATCGCAGGGAAAATCCACGCATACCGTTAGAAAGATATTTTCCTGTAGAAGTGCAGAATCCCTTAAAAATTAAAATAGGCTCAAATATAAGCACAAAAATGGATTTGAAATTCAAAAAAATTAACATGGGCTTTATGCGTTGCCATGTTGGCGACGAAATAACAACAAAATATAAACATAAAATCAAAACAAATGGAAGAAATTACGATCACATATTTTACTTACAGCGTGGGGTGAAAATAGAGAAGCTTTTTAAAGGTACAGGCTAGCCTGTATCTTTACATTCCATTCCCATGTTAAAGTTGTCACCAGTTTTTTTTTTTATTAAATTCATCGTAGTTGATGTGAGCCACCAACAGATTGTGCTGATCTAAATGACTTATTTCTGTCGAATACACAATGTTTCTTACGAAGTCAAACTTATGGAATGACTTATTATGAGCAATAGCAACTGTTATGACCCATCAACTTTGTCCGCAACAAAAAATAAGGTAGAAAATAGGCCTAGAATTTAAGACATGCATTCGGTGACTGCTTACAAAACTATGTTAAAAAAAAATTGCAACAGCTGGTCCATATAGATGGGATGTCTAATTCAGTATCCTAAAGTCAATACAAGAACATTGGATGTTTTGATCTTTGGGTCAAATTTTCGACCACTGGACGACCACTAGTCTCAATTAAAAGTCTGTATCAAATTACATTTAAGATATTGGAGATGCATCAGCTGTTAGATTGATTTTTGTTTTAGTTTGTTTATTTACTTTTCCTTGAGTTAACCTTTTGATTCTACCATAATGTCTAAATTGCATCAAGAGAAATTACAGTACGTTTTTCTTTATAGGATAGTAATCAAACCTTTGAATTCTGTTCAAATTGTTTACTTATTAGGCCTACCATACACGTTCCATCCCGGACTGAAGGCCGAGCCTTGAGGCCGGAACTGCACAGTTTGGCCGGAGTCGTGACCTCCCCACACACGCTCAGTCCGGAACTGCACAGTTTGGCAGGAGTCGCCTTGCCTCCTCTTGGTCTAATAGGAAGTTAAGCTCACTGAAGTACCACTTTTGTGAAGGTTTTACTTTTTTAACTCTTTTCTAAATGCACTCCGTAAGTTGTTTATTTTTTCACCACAGTGTCCTTTGTTCCTTTTGTGTCAGATTTGTTCATAAATCTAATAACTCTTTATAAGCTGCTTCCCTCGTGTACCTTTTGTGGTATACTTATAAGTATACTTTGCTTATTGAAGTAAAAAAGTCACATGCACATGCGATAATGCTGAAAATGTGGTGGGTGGGGGGAAGCAGCACTGTCTTGGACTGCGGGATTTGCCATACACGTTCAATTCGGTGTCAAGGCCGGCGGCCTTGAGGCCTGGCCGGATGTGTTTCCCATCCGGCCGTCCGGCCAACGATCTGCCTGAAGGAATCGACACACACGTTCAGTTTTTCCTTCAGTCCAGGACTGTACAGTCCGGGGCTGAAGGAAAACCGGAACGTGTATGGTAGGCCTTAGTACAGTTTTATATATATTTAAAACACAGCAATTGATGTTGCAAACAAATGTTGTTTATATAATTAAGGGACACAAGAACTATTGAGTTTGCTCAGAGCCCTATGTGTTTTAACTGGGAAAAACACAACTGTAGAGTATTTTTCCTTGTGACTTGGACATTGATCATATTAATTTACATCAAGAACAAGCGCTTACTCAATCAGCAGTTTTTATTGGACAAAGCAGCGAAGAATCGCCACTATCTTTTCTGCGTTCTGTTCCCGTGCAGAGGCACGAGCAGAACAACTAGTATTTTGTAAACACAATATTGTGCCACGTTTACAACAATCAAGATTATAAAATTACCTTCCCTTGTTGTGATGTAGCATTGCAGCATGAAGACGGGGCATATTTCCAATCTTCCTTTCCTTCAATCCCGCAACATTTAAACTGAAATTCATTAAAGCCAATTAAAGAACATTAATCCATCAGGTCTTAATTTTATTGTGAGCACAATGGAATTGTCTTCCATGGCCTCTGTCTCAAGAAAGTTAAATACAATTGAACAAATTTGCAAAGCAAAAACCAACTACTGTATGCTATACTATTATTTACTGATTTCAGTTGCTCTTATTACCAAAATTGAGTTTAATAAAGTATTCGATTCAATTTTTCAGTATTCAAAATATGTGGTCGTGGTGTATGTATGAAAAAGCATCTCCCATATTTTGCATATAGGGTGCAGAGAGAGGAAAAGAGAGGTTTCTAGCTTTTTATGTTCTACAAATCAAGCACCACAGAACTAGACGTAAAACCAAATAGGTTTTACAATTAGTATCTTTTTCTTTACAAGTTGTCTATGGTACAGTAACAAAGGATTTACAATACAACAGCTCTAATTTCTTGACTTACCAGATACTTTGAATAGTTACCATATTTTCCCATTACAAGACAATGTAGAAATTAGAAATATTAATATATATTTTAATATATAATATATATTGGTTACGGGGATAATTAAAAAAATTATAAATTTAAAATTCCCATGTTATTCTTATGGAAAATAAATAAACTCTTGTAGTTTACTTGTTTATGAATATATATTAACCAATTTTTGTTTATTTCATACTAAGCTATCAACATTGCAATAAAAAAAACACACCTCTATATCTTACATGTAGCAGCAAACCTTTGTACTCACTAAAATTAATGTTATTTAGATAGGAAATAAATGTGACAATTTTTATGAAATGTTTTGGTAGAAATCCAGCCAGGTAAATGGAAATTTGCTTAGTCTGCAGGCTTGCTGCGGCGGGGTTATTTTTCAATAACTACCGGTATCTTATTAAAACAAAACTTATCAAATCTTATCTATACATCAATTTTGAGCCATGTTTGGGAACACCACCTCAATTAGTTTGTTTGTTGAATTTGTAAAATTGGCAGGGAATGTAATGTATCCAGGGGATGGTTAACAGATATTTCACTATTTTCAATTACGAGCAATTGTTTGGAAAAAACTTCTCCAGATTAGTTGTTCTGCAATTCTACTTGCATGTTAATGTTTACCCGGTTGATGGCTCGACAAAGAGACCTCCTAGCCACTCTGTAAGCATCCGACTTACGACGTCTGTCTACAGGTTCTCTGGCCCTGGTAGCAAGTCTTCTGGTCCGCAATCTCGGCAGACAACCAGTACACAGGTTGCTTATTGCACCGGGATCTAAGTATCAGTCCCATCATGTTTGTAACTAACGCCTCTGCGTGAGCCACGCTAGTTACGGGGGGAACCACCGGTGTTCCTCGTAAGATGGCTTCATTGAATTTTGCCACGTCCAATTTTTTAATATTCCATCGAACGGGCACTTGACGAAACGCGGCTACTTGTCTCTGATGACCATCCAGGTCATCAAAAATAATGTACTGGTGGTCACTGCCCGTGTAATCCTCCAGGACTCTCCAGGCTCTGATCCTTGGCAAAAGGGACTCAGATGCAAGGGTTATGTCTGGGATTGTTCCCCGCATCCCAGGGCGTCGGAAAGTTGGCGTGTTTCCCTCGTTGACGACAACAAGTCCGGCTCTGGCAGCAAAGTCCAGAATGTACTTGCCCCGGGAATTGGTGAGGGTCATTCCCCACTCGACAGCCCTAGCATTAAAATCCCCACCCACGACAACATGTCCTGTGGTATTGCACACGCTGTCTTCCAGGCGGTCTATCTTCTCACGAAATTCACGGATGGCCTCGTTGGGAGTGAGGTAGACACTAAAGTAAGTGACACCCCGGCACCGAACCCAAATGAAACCTCGGCCCTTCGGGTGACCCCGTACTTGCACTTTCGCTGCATTACGCGCCCAGAATGCAGCAGTACCAAGACTATCAGGGAACCAAAAAGATGGGTCCCTATCACGGTACTGGTACTGTTCGCTGACTAAGAGCGCGTCGACATCGTGTTCTAGGGCAAGCTGACATAGAAGTGGGTCAGCCGACCTGGATCGCTCAAGATTGCACTGAAGGATTCTTATCTTCGTGAAAGTGCTTTCGCTTGCTGTAGTGCAGATTTGAATACACTACACTGTCCAGACCCAGCTATATGCTTCAAGTGTTTGTCAGCGAGCCCATTTTCTTTGCAAAGGAAACAGGACTCGACTTGGCAGTCCTTACGGACGTGACCGACCTCCCCGCACCGAAGGCAGTTCTTGCTTCGGTCGGGTCCCTTGCAGTTTCGGGAGGAATGGCCGAAACAGAGGCATTTAAAACACCTCTTCACTTCCACTCTCCGTCTGAGCCTGCAGTTGACCCAGCCGACTCTCAGATGCTGGAGTTCCAGCAGCTTAGTGGCATGTGCGTCTGCCATTTCGGCGACCGCCATCCGCTGCTGACTCCTATTCGGTTTTGTGAGCCACACCTTAAGAAAAGCCGTTTGCCCGCCAAGCTCGGGGACAGCTTTCTTCAGGGCCTCAACAACATCAACCTCCGTCGACATACAATCAATGTCTCGAACTTTGACTGATGTCTTTGGTTCAAGAGCATGGACGGAGCCCTGGCCTTCAACAGCTGCCTTGAGTTCGGCAGTAAAGGCTGCTTTGTCTTTCGACTTACCCAGTTCAAGGAGAACGTCCCCATCCCGGGTTCGTCTATACGACTGTACAACCGTATCGGTCTGCTCTGGCTTAGCCTTGGCCTTAATTGCACCCAAGACCTCGGCAAAAGATCTCCCCCCTGAGGGCTTGACCAGGATTGCCTCTGTCCTGGGCTTTTTTGGCCGGGACTTTTTTGGAGCAGAGACCGAGCCGGGCCCAGTTTGGGCCACGCCGGTCGGCTGTGCCTTCACTGCCACATTCTTTATAGAGGCGACCTCTGCCTCGATTGCCTCTTCTCCTTTCGGGAACGGCGTTTTTCCCACGCAGCCCCAGGTGTCTCTACAACTGACCCCTTTCGGGAACTTCCCTGAAGGGGGATCGTAGGTAGCTGTGGCTGTTGGTTCTTTACAGGAGCTGCAGCTATGTCCGAAAAGGATCTGGGCACAGCAGACAATAGGTCCGTCTGAGCCGCTTTGGCCTTTACCGTGGTCCTTTTGGTCTGGATGCCTTCTTCTCTTTTTTGAGGACTGTCCGATGTGGAAGGCCTTTTACGTTTCTTAGAAGGCAGTGTTCTTTCGTCAGACAGAGACACAACCTTCTCGGCAATCTTCTCCATGGCTGCCTTGCTCACCACCCGGCAGGCAAAAACGAAGCCAAGGTCATCCTCCAGTTTGGCCATGCCGTTTTTGACCACTTTATTTATGGCTCTCTGGGTCTGGAAGGTGTCCAGCATAGCATTGATCGTAGCTTCCATGTCTTGGAGCCGGGTTCCAATGTCACTCTCTGCGTCAAGATATTCCTGACGCAGAAGCACCATCTCAGAGCCTTCCGACCTCAACGGTGCTGCGAATGGCTCCTCAGGCATCCCTACAGCAGAACTGATCGCCAGGGTAGTTGCTGGCAACGCCAGCTCGACACCTGCATCTCCGACGTTTTCCGCACCGTTCCCAGCTCCACTTGACGAAGGAGCTCCTAAATGGGGGAACTCCTTAGTGCATTTGAAGGTGGCAGGTGGGGGAGATGTCCTCACGTTTTTCGGTGGTGGCGACCGCTGAACTTTGGAGCTACGGACAAAAGCGTTCCGCTCCACTTCCAACGTCTTTTCTGGCTCATTTGAGCTCTTGATCAAAAATGGTTTTGAGGGGTTTTATTTAAAGCCATCGTGTTTATTCCAGCGCATCGTGCGGCAAGGAGCGGCCCGGAATCAGTCAGGAACGGGTATATCCTCGGGGACAAAAACCGGGGGTCGCCCGTCGCAATGCGGAGCCCGACCTCTTCATCCATGCCGCACTCCCTGACCAAGGACCGAAGTGGCTGGCTTCTCACGACCCACTAAGAATACCCATCGGCAGTGCAGAGCACACATCAACCCCTGCAACACAACAGGGGCACTCCCAGGGACTCCCAGTGAGTTTGTCGGTCACCCTTATAGTTGCCTCTTACGACAAGCCCGAGAAGGCTGCGGTGCTATTCTAACCCGGTACCGCACGGGGCATCGTGGATTGGGTGTTGTCATTCTCAATTGTACTAATATTTTTTTGGCAATCATCAAGCACATGTCCTCAATCAAAATTAATGCTTCATTATGAATTTCTTCGTTCATTTGCAAGACTTCATTAGATGTTCTAAGTCGCATCTGATACAATATATCTTCAGCCATATGATCCTTATAATTGATTGTTCCATAAATCAATCGGGTTTGATGGGAAGCATGTAGACAAAATTGTAGAAAACAATGTCTGTATTTGTTTAGCACTTGACGAAATCACTCCATTTTCGAGCATGTCTCAATGAGTGTCATTCTCTAGCAATCCCAAACGTTCTTCTCTATTATATGTGACGCACAACATACCATTAACAGTACGTAGATATTGGAATGATGTTGGGCCACGAACATTGACTAATAATAAACTCAAATAAAAACACTCGTCTTGGCTGGGATGGGCTGTATAAAGACGTTCTAGTGCATCAGTGGAAAATACTTGTGGATAACCTGGAACTGGCTTTCCTTGTTAACCTAGTTGAAATTTCTTTGTCGATTGATTCCAGGTAAAATATCTTGGCATTCTGGAGTATAGCTAAGTTCGAGCAAATTCATCATTCAGGCAAATTTCAAAGAAGCTGATCAGTGGTGTCGATGGCAGCCTGTTTGGTTGTTGTACTATACATTCTCCATTGTAAAGTACACTCTTTGGCCAATTTAAAATTCAAATTCAAATTATTTATTAACTCATAACATCTTTTGTAGTACAATGTACATAGATAGGAGTTTTGTCAATATTTTTAAAACTAATACTACACTGATATATTTGATATAACTAATTACAATTATTCAAACTTTAAAAATTAATAGTAATACTTTACAAAAAGA